ACATAAAAGAGATCTAAAGATTAGTAATAAAACCAGGATTGGTGCATTAAGGTCTACAGACCCTGGATATCAGCTCTGTGGCTGCAGCAAGCTTTTAGATTGATTTCAATGATGGACTCTAAAGTTCAGCGAACCTTCATCCAGGGGTAGATGTCCACCAGTCCTCCTCTGGCGATGGTCTCCACGATGCCGTTGTTGTAGCGGATCACCTCCTGCAGCTCGCTGTCCCCGCTGCTGTAGGTGCTGCTGAACACCAGGGTGCAGACCACGTTGGTGACGGCTCTGGTTATGGCGGGAGACGGGTCGAAGCCCCGGGTACCGTGGGACAGCAGCTCCGCGCAAAGACTGTCCACTGCAGAAAAAACTGGAGAGAAAACAGATAATGTGGTTAGTTTGTTTATGGAGATGTTTTAAGGTTTAATGGAAAACTGAAGGCTGTGAGGCTTTGGATATTTGAGAACAGAAAATCATTGTTTTTGTTTTTTTCTGAAACAGTAAAATAGGAATCAAAGTCTAAAGAAAAACAAATTCTAAAAGCTCAATTTGGTCCAAAAATATAATTAAACCAGAACAGATGAGGACTAAAAGCATAAATCATGCAAGGTTTTAGCACTGATCTCTATTTATTCACTGGATTGCTGATTGCCCCTTAGTTATACAGGGTTGAAGTTAAGCCATTGGCCGCCATATTGGTACTCCTTAGTTAGACCAGTCTCAATGTAAACAATACGTGCGCTACAGCATCTAGCAAAGATGATCTTCTCATTGTCAGGGGGACTTAAGACTTAAAATAAAGATAAATTCATCACTTTGACACCAGCTGGCTGTTTCATAGCCTAAGTAAGTTACCTTAACTTATAATAAAAAAAATAGGCAAAACGAATGCGTTAATGTAGCATAATAATACATAGGGGCCAAAAGTGCTAAATTGATGATGTACACCAGGGAAGACCCAGGATACGCTGGAGAGACTATGTTTCTCGGCTGGCCTGGGAACGCCTTGGGGTTCCTCCTGAGGGGCTAGAAGAAGTGGCTGGGGAGAGGGAAGTCTTGGCCTCCCTTTTTAAGCTGCTGCCTCCGCGACCTGACCCCGGATAAGCGGAGGAAGATGGATGGATGGATGGATGGATGGATGAATGGACTTTAATTTTTTCTTGGTTAGTACATCAAGTGACTGTGAAATTACCTGTGGAACGTCTTCCCACAGCAGGCAAACTGCTTGTTTTTGCAGTCAAATGCTGCACATGTTGGCATTTTTACTGCTCTGTGGGAGTGGGGAGTATCAACATGGCGGACAGTGACTTCACTTTCTTTTGGGCAATCAGCAATCCAGTGAATAAATAGAGATCAGTAGGTTTTAGCTAGTGTTGCGCCAATGCCATTTTTTGGATCCGATGCCCGATACCTGGCTGTGCAGTATCGACCGATACCGATACCATCTGTTTGAAATTGATGTGTGTGTGTATATGAAGAACTGCAGACTACCTGGATGTTAAATAATTACCATTATGGCTTTATCAAGCTGCTGCCTACCTTTGTGAAGCAGGAAATAGATTAATACAAAGTGAATCCAATAAAACTTTTTATTGCCTACCTGGAATGAGTGACAATAGTTGAATAAACTTTTGGCTCTCAAAATGGTATCGGGGCCTTATTTGCTGGTACTCACCGATACCGATTGTTTCATCTTATTCTGAATATTTTTACTAAAATACTAAAAGAGTCTGATTGGTTTTCTGCTGCCCCCTGCTGGTTTATGACGATAAGCTTAAATGTATAGTGGAGGATGTCCTTTTTCCAGGTGGATCATCAAAATAAGTGGTTCTCATAATTGTCAATCATTCTGGGACGGCCTTCATATGTGCTACTATGGAAAGTAAGCTTGTATGAGCGATACAAACAGCAACTTTCAAACAGAGCGTGCACGAGGCAGCGTGCTCTTACACGCGTATAACAGGCGTTCCCTCTCGGGAACAGGTACAGGGTTGTGCATGTGCTTTTTTTTTTTTTTTACATGGAGTCTTTTTAAAAATTCGTCAAAATCCTTCACTATACTTTTAACCCTAAAACTCATGACATCAGCATAAAACAAATTTACAAAACTCTATAAACGGATTAACTAATGTTAGCTTATTCAGTTTTCCTTTCCTGGTATTCATTCATTATTCATACATTTTATTATTTCTAAAATAAATTATTTTCTTTAAGAGTTCTAACAGACTATAACAGCTACGAGGCCATCAAACAGGACAGGAAGCCTGAAGTCCTCCTCTTGTTGATAAATATGCTAAATGAAAGTTGTTTCTGCGATTTGGACTAAAACTTGTTCTTCTTGATTTAAAAGAGGAGAAAGTGGACTTTTTGTTGTACCGATGTCCTGCAGCCGGCTGGTTCCCTCCCCGAACAGAGTGAAGGAGTTGTGGACGAGGCGGCGGTGGAGCCTCCACAGAGGAGAGTAATCTGAAAAGGCGATGTCTTTACCTCCTCGGGTCAGCAGGCTGGTCGTTACCTGGACAAAAAAAAAACATTACGTCAGAGACTGGATGAAAACAAGGCAGCTAGGTTGATGTAACAGGAGTTTATATTATAACAGACACAACTGTTCATCCTTTATTCAAACTTTACCTAATACTGTTACTTTAAAGTGTTTAAATTATGATTTTTCTTACATCGATTTATATTCTGTCTAA